AAAGTATTAATTCGAAATTAGCATAAAAAGTTAAGAAAAAGTGGTTAAACTACACAAAATCTGAAAAAAGTTAATATTGGACCCCTGGACAAAGAAGTTGAAGAAAAAATAAAACAAGAAAATTAATAATAAAATAAAATGAAAAAATAGGTTTAATAAAACGAAAGCAAAAAAAAAAATCAATTAAAGCAAAGTACCAAGTTAAAAGAAAAGAAGTTTGGAAAATGTTTGAAATAATAATAAAAGAAGTAATTAAAACATAAAAATAAATCATTATCAATTTTTCTACGTCTTTCTTTTTCTACGTCTTTCTTTTTGTACGTCTTTCTTTTTCTACGTCTTTCTTTTTGTACGTCTTTCTTTTTCTACGTCTTTCTTTTTTCGCCAATAATAACAAAAGATTATTTAAAATTTTTTTTTTTTTTCAATTTTGCAGAAGTTTTTGTGCCTTTTCGTTTTGAAGTTGTTGTTTTTTTTTTGTAGTTTTTTTGTTTGCCTAAAGTTTGTTATTATTTGTGCTGTTGTTGCTAATTATTTATTGTTGTTCACTGTTGTTATTAACTAAATGTTTTCATAGTTTTTTGTCTTATTATTAATTTATTATAGCTTAATTGTTGTTATTATTATTTTTTGATTAAATTAATTTTACGCTTGCTTTTAGTTATTAATATTGCTGTTAATTTTTTGTTTGTTTGTTTATTTTATTTAGGTGTCACTCCAAATGACTAGTTTTTAACTATATGAGTGACATATAACCTTATGTGAAATTGTAAAAAATTTATAATTTTTAGTTTTTGGTTGAATAAATTAATAAATAAAAAAAAATTAATATTGTAAACTATTAATAACATTCACTTTTCTACTTTCAAATAGAGTACATGCCGATATATACGCTGTTAGTTTTTTTACTTGAATATTATTTTGAGCGCTTATAAAAAAAATAAGGACCTTTTTTTACAAGAAAAAATTATTGACAAATATAAAAAAACAATATACAATTACTTTAAAACCCTTTGCTTTCTATGTGTTGTAATTATTAAGATCTTATTTGTTACTGGACCCTGAAAACTATTGGTATTTTAAAAGTATTTTATAGTACCCTGTTGTAATTAAATTTGATTTTAAACTGCATTAAAAATCATTTGAACCAATTTAACAAAAGTTATAGAATATTTAGATAGAATCTAATTTCTGTGTTTGAAAAGGATTAAATTTCCTTATAATTTATTTGTAAAACAATCTTCTACTTAACAATCTTTTGTTTGTTTATCTCTATTTATTTCTTATAGTTTTTAGGTATTTAATCTAATATTTTTAATAAAGATTATTAACAATTTATAGAAAGATTTTATCAGTTACCAATAGGGATCGTTACAGTATACTGTATACTAACTTTACAGCATACTTTACTGTATATTTTGTATACTTTACTATATATTTGATATACTTTACCGTATATTTGGTATACTAAAAGTTAGTATACAATTCAGTACACTTATTTACTTTTATTTGTAAATCATTTTTGGACTGACTTGATAATTTATTAATTATATTATCTTAATTAATTAATTTGCTATACCATATTTATTGTATAACTTATCATAATTAAAGTGATTTTATTTTTAGTTTCATTTTTTAATGAAGCAAGATAAAAATCCATTATCATGCCGTTGCTGATTTTGATTAAAAACTTCAATTTTTTTATTTATTTAGTGAGAATGTGTAACGAATGGTTAGCAGTATAATTAAACACAAAAGCAAAAAAATTAAATAAAAAACCAACACATTTGCTTTACGTAAACCCTTAGAATTTTTTTTACAAACTTCTTATATGGTTTGGCTAAAAAAAAAGTTACCAATAAGATATTTGTAAACATAATTTATGTTCATAAATGTATTACGTCTTTACACGATATTGAATTAATAAAAAATAAAATTTTTTTAATACAATTGTGAAAAGATTTCTCTCAATCAAAAACATTTCTCTCTTTTTTTTAAGAAAAAAAAAGTTTTTAATTTGCTTGTGCAAATTATAATCTATAATAATTTACAATGGAGAGACTTATGTTTTATATAATTAATGATAAATAAGAAAAAAACATTAATAAAAATTGCGAAACTGTTTTACATTCATTTGAAACTAAATTTTACATTCAACATTTTACTATTCCTTCAAAAACTTTAAAAAAATTTAAATTTTTAAAATCATATTTAAAGTCTTTAATAAATGAATTGAATAAATATCAAGTCTGAATAAATATCAAGTCTGTAGATTGCAATGTATATTATGAAGACTTTTTGGCCTACAACAAAACGGAAAAGGCAAGCTTCGATAAAAAAAAAAAATTTTTTTTCTTGGTATGCATTTATTCTTTTGTTTTAATCAAAAAAGTTTAGCACAAATGTTTTTTTTATCATTCTCTTTAATATGAACACAGCATGTCTCAGAGGTTTGGGATCCCTTTAAATAAAATTTGCAAAAAAAATAAATAAATAAAAGTGTTTTTATTTAAACAATAAAACTTTTTAGTTTTAATTTCAGAAGTATTTTTATAAATACTTTTCAACACTCGTACAATTTTCTTATGTTCTAATTAATAGTTCTTTTTATAGAATTTTGAAATTTAAAAAATAAAACAAAACAAAAATTAGAACTGCTGATAAAAATCCATACTTTATACTATCAAAAGATTATATATATATATATATATATATATATATATATATATATATATATATATATATATATATATATATATATATATATATATATATGTATAGATATACGTATGTATATATATATGTATGTATGTATATATGTATGTATGTATATATATACAGACCTCGGCGGGAAGCGAGAGCTCTCGTTCTCGCCCACACTCCCCTAAAATGGTTTACGGGAGCAATTTACGGCTCTCGCAAAAATATATTTTTTCTCTCAAAAGTTTAATTATTATTTAACTAAAATAAAAAACGCAGTCATTTTAATAATTATCTTTAACAATTCTTAAAATCCCTGCATTCTATTACAATAAGAAAATATAAAACTTTTTTTTATAAGCAATATATATATATATATATATATATATATATATATATATATATATAATTTTTTTGCAACAATTTGAAATATTTGATTGTGTTTGAGCTTTAAGGATTGTTATGTTCAATTTAAAATTAGTGTTATTCTGAAATTATTTTTTGCAAATGTTTTTTTGTTGCTAATAAAATTGGCAACAAAATTTTTGTGCAAACATGGTGTCACTTTTTGATTTTTCTAAATGTTATTTAGTGTTAAAAGATTTTATTTTTATAAAACTTTACAAGCTTTTTAGTTTTTACAAACGTTTTGCACAAAATTTAAAATCTTGCCTATAAAAGGTTTATTTGATAAAATTGGTTACTAATTCTCAAAGTTAACTTGTTTTAAAATTAAATTCTGATTAAAAAATTGTTTTTCAATTTTTTTTATGTAATATAAAAATCAACTTATAGTTTCCTGTTTTTTAAGTTAATGAGATTTTAAGAAATACTGCTCTGTTAGATGTTTATTTTAAGAAACACTGCTCTGTTAGATGTTTTTAGTTAAAGTTTTTTAAACCATTTGTTCTTGTAGATTGACATGAATTATAGTTATAGATTCTTTTTCTAAAGCTGTAAAATGTTTAGAAAATGAAAGGGTTTTAAAATTTATATGGATGTATCTTTTAAGTACCAAAATACACCTTGATGAAATTTGAAATCAGTTTATAAATTGTGATACTATTCACAATGATTTATTTAAAAATAAATTCTTATTAAACAAAAGATTGCTTGGGGTATTTTTTTTTGGTTTCTTCTGTTCCAGCCCTTAAATCACATAGTGTGTCAAATCAAAGTGTTTTTTTTTATAGGAGGATAATTGGTAAAAATATGTTGAAGTTCAGACAAAAAAAATCAATTGTATAATAATTTGTTTAAATTAAAACAGTTTGTCAAAATATCTATTTATAAAGTTTAAACTAATTAATATAAAAAATATTAAACAAAAAAGTTTTGTTTCAAAATAAGCCTGCAAAGCCTGAAAATATAACTACATTCAAAAAATAGAAAATCAGTTTTAGTATTCAATAATAAAAATGTCAAAATCCCAGATGTATATTTGATCAACAAGATAATCATACTTAGATATAGAAATGTAAAAGAGGACTGTTACAATCTTAAAAATTTATTTCTACTTATTCAACTCTATCAATTGAAGTTTTTTTTATGACCTATTGTATTAAATCTAATAGGTCTTTAAAAAAAATATTGGTACAGTTAGACATAAGATTCTATTTCAAGGAAGGCTTTAAAAAAATGGCTAAATATTAGTTTAAAAAAATAAAATAAAATAAAAAAGCAGTTTTTAATTCATTATTAGTTCAAAGGTTTTTATCACATGTCAATCTATCAGAAAGAGTGGTTAAAAAAGACATGAAGCGCTTCAACTGAAAATTTCTCAAAAAAAAATACTTAAGTTAATAAAACTTAAATTTATTTACATTAAACTTTTAAATATAAAAGCTGTGCTTATTTATTAATGGCTTCTTTTTTTATAACCTCAATGTTATTATAGTATTAAGAGAAGTTTCAGAAAAAAGGTAACAAATAGAATGGTAAATGTATTGCAAATTTATAACTCAAATCTCGCATAAGGTGGTGAGATTTTGTTGCCTATGTATTTATATAGTCTAAGTAAAAATGCCTGTTGAAATAAGTTTAATGTTCAGTTTATTTTAGTTGATTGTTAGGAAAAGTTAAATTTGTTTAACAAGAAGTTATTTTAAGCATTCTTTATTTTAAACAAATTTCTAAAGAATCCTGAAGTATTTATTATAAGAAATAATTTTTTTTTTTTTTTTTTGCACTTACTGCTTTGTTTTGTTTAAAAAAAATTTACTATTACCAATATTTCTTTATCTTTTTCTTGAGAAAAAGAAAAATCATAGTATGTTGTAGTCTAAAATTTTTGGTAATAGGAATCAAAAAGAAGAGCTTCCCTTAAATTAAAGTTGCAGATGGCAGAGTTTTTGCAAGATACTATTGAAGAAATTGCAGTTAATCCACAAACAAAAAAAAGTGAAAAATTGAAAGCTTTTAGTGACTTTGTTCATAAGGTAATATTGTTATTTGGTTATTTATTATAATGTTTTTAATAATATTATTATTTATCATGTTATATAATTTTGAATCAATTTTAGTTATAATTTAATTGTGAGAGGAAACCCTTAATTGATGATTTGTTGTTTTGGGATATTGAGAAAGTGTTTATCTTTTATTTAATTTGAAATTTCCAGTTTTTATAATTTTTGTTTATAATATTAGTTTTATCAAATTTAAAAAAACTGCTTGACCTGAGTTATGACTGGTTTTTCTACAAAACATCTCTCTAGGCTATGTCAGAATTATTCTGTTACTGGTAACATCTAATTCAGTACAACTTGTTACTTACCCTGCTGCTTTATATGGTTTTTTGGCAATGGCAAGCCGAAGATAACTCAAACAAAAAATATATATTTGGGCTCTTGATCAAGAAAAAGCTAGAAAGGGTTCTTTTAAAAAAAATACTTTTATCAAATAAATAAATTTCTGTTTAAAGTTTTGTTGTCTCTGTGAAAAACATGTAAAAAAAACACTTGAAAGAAATGTTTTCTGATCACCAGTTTTGTTCTTTTTTTGTTATTTATTAAGCTGGCATAGATGTACCTGAAAACTACTTGTGTGCTCTTCTTAATTTATATTTGAGTGTAGCTATGTAACTCTTTCTAATACCTTCTAATTAAAAAGTTTAATCGCATGCCACCATCAAATTGTTTTTTTCCCCCACTTTTTGTTCTAATAATTTTTTTTTATAAAGTCTTTTTTTTTTTTTTTAAATCATCATTCCAATCTTTAAATCCTCTTATTTGAAATGGCTTTAAGAATTTCACGCTCTACATCTCACTTCAAGAGTTTCACGCTCTACTTGAGTGTATAATTATGTAACAAATTTCCTATTTGTTAAAAAATTAGCTTTGAATCTTCTGACTTGACTATTCTATGCTCACTCGCCACTTTTCTCTATTCTGCATCATTTTCTAATGGTTCTTGAATTTTAAAAAAAATATATTTTTCAAATTTTAAAAAAAGCTTGTTCAAGTTTATAATTAAATTGAATATTTAGTTATGAATTTGATCTTTGCTTTGTTGATTGTCAACTACTTTTTGTCACATTCTGTTAAAAATACTGCTAAAAGCAACTAAAATGTATTAACATTTAAATTAGAGGTTAGAATTTAAATTATCTTTGAAAAAAAAGTGCTAATAATAATTACAAATTAATACTTTACAAATTTTTTTAGAGAAGTAAGTTAGTTTGCATAAGTCAAAATCGAATTGACTAATCTAAATCTGTTTATTATATAAAAAAAATTAATTATTATTTTGCTTATTACAATTGTTATTATTATTATTATTATTATTATTATTGTTGTTGTTGATAAATTAACTTATGATATATAAATACACTTTTATGCGTTTTATCTTTTAACTGAAAGATTTTGCTAGGTACGCAGTGGAGAACAAGCACCAACGAATAAAGAAATTTTAGAGTATTCAAAATTGTTTCATGATGAAATTACTCTTGAAAATATTCCTCATGCTCAACTAAAGGCTTTGTGTCGTCTCCTTATGATATCACCTATAGGACCCAGCAATCTTCTTCGTCTTAAAATTGAGTTCAAACTTCAAGAGTTAAAGCGTGATGATAAGGTATCATATTACTCACATTATGTCTCAAATAAAACATTATTATAAGGTATCATATTACTCACATTATGTCTCAAATAAAACATTGTGATAAGGTATCATATTACTTACATAGAGTCTCAAATAAAAATTGTTATGAGGTATCATATTACTTACATGATATCTCAAATAAAACATTGTGATAAGTGTTGTTGTGTTATGTATTTTTTTTTTCGTTTTTGTAATAATTTATTAAAAAAAGAATTCTTTTTATAAAGTTTAAATATGCGTATATAAAATGGCAGCCATTTTAAATAAGGTAGCCATTTTAAAATGGTAACCATTTTGAAACAGGTTTTTATAAATAAATTGTGTAAGGGGGTCATAATAGGGTCATTTAAGGTCGTTTATTTGGGTTGTTTCAGGCCATATATTAGGTCATATATATTACCATATATATTATACCATATATATTAGGTCATTTTTAGGGGGTAATTTATATTAAAAATAATAGTGTAAATTAACAAAGTTGCTTAGGTTCTCTTTCTTGGAGGAAGCAAGAGGTGATTGCACTTTATCATTTGGTTGACTATATATAACTTATTTCAATGATTTTTAAATAAAAATATTTTAATAATCGCTCTTGTTCTAAATTTTTCATTTTGTTTTAAAAATCATTTTTATTCCAATATTTGCTTAATTTCATTTTCTGTTATGAGCATTACTGAACACCATTCATCAAAATCAGCAGTAGTCATCATTCATATCAGAAGACAATTCACATCATTCTATCAGAAGACAATAACAGACTACTATCGCTAAAACTTTCACTATCACTTTGACTTGAACAGTTGATTTCACTGAATACATTGTTGATTTAATATTGTTGATTTCATTGAATTCTCAGCTCTTGCTTCCTCAAAAATGAGGTCCTAAATGACTTTGTAAACCTGTTCATATTATTATTTTTTTGATATAAATTACCTCCTAAAATGACCCAAAACAACCCTTAAGCAATAAATGACCATAAATGACCATATTATAACCCCCTTACACAATTCGCCCTATAAACACCTATTTCAAAATGGTTACCTTATTAAAATGGTAACCATTTAAAAATTGCTACCTTTTTCAAAATGGCTGCCATTTTATATATGTATATATAAACTTTATAAGAAGAACTCTTATAAATTATTATAAAAACGAAAAAAAAAAAGTAGATTATAACACAACAACATATAAGGTATTATATTACTTACATAATGTTTCAAATAAAACATTGTCATAAGGTTTCATATTATTTACATAAATTCTCAAATAAAACATTGTGATAAAGTATAATATTAATAACATAATGTCTCAAATAAAACATTGTGATAAGGTATCATATTACTTACATAATGTCTCAAATAAAACATTGTGATAAGGTTTCATATTATTTACATAAAATCTCAAATAAAACATTGTGATAAGGTATCATGTTACTTGCATAATGTCTCAAAAAAAACATTGTGATAAGATATCATTTTACTTACATAATGTCTCAAATATAACATTGTGATAAGGCTTCATATTACTTACATGATATCTCAAATAAAATATTGTGATAATAAAATAATATTATGCAACTTTTGTTACATATAACAATAGTTAAAAAAAGTAAAAATGATAAAATATATAATTGCCACCCTAATTAGTAAATATGCGACTTTGAACTTAGTTAATAATAATTAATATAACTTTTTCTTAGTTTAATTGGTTTAATTAGTTACTTTGGTTGCATATTTACAGTGATATAGTCTGATTCTAAAATATTCTTTTGACTCTGGGGTGCCAGATTTCAAACAATTTTATTTTATAGATAAGATAAAGGAAGGAAATCCAAGTACAAGAAGAAACTTTTATAATGCACTAAATAAAACATAGGCTTACATATATAAATTATATGCATATATATATATATATATATATATATATATATATATATATATATATATAATGCATATAATGTATATATATTAAATATATAAAAATACAAAAAACATGCATTTAATATTTTATTTATTGTATATAGCATTTATTTAATAATTTAGTTATTGTATATAGCATTTAGGGTTTTTCAAAAACTAGTTTTCAAAAAACAGCTGTTTCTGTTTTAAACTTTCAAAAAAATAACTCTTAACATGTTTCTGTTTTAAACTTTCAAAAAAATAACTCTTAACAACTTTTTTTTATTATTTTTTGAATTTTCAAAATAAAATATAATTTTACATTAATCTAATTTTATTATATCACCAATATGAGTAAGTAACTTCTACCAAAAGCATTTTTATTTCTTATAATAGCGTTTCAAAAACACAAGAGCTTCAAGTAATTTATTGAAGAGACAAGATTATATTTTGCTGTGAAAATTATTCCAGTCCAAAATTTATTGAATACCAAAAATACACATTCAACATCTGTCGATTTTGGTTTGATGCAAAATAATGCATCATATAATTTTTGCAGACTTTCTGTTTGTTTACCAGTGTTCTTAATTCATACCTTCCTGTTAAATAATATCATGGCTTATGATTTCCATATCCATTTCATTATCAAAGTTTCATTTAACTCACATCTATCCAAGTCATGCTCATCAAAGTCTTCAAAGTCTATCAACTTTTTTCTTCTATAATGTATCGCACAATTCTAAGTGCAAAGCATGATCAATACAAAAGTTTTTGATGGCATTTTTAATGAAAAAAGAGTTTGTTTGTTGTTCAAAACTGGATAGCAACTCTTTTTATTATTAACTGGAAAGCAACTCTTATATTCTTAAACTTTTAGAAATCTTTACATAAGTGATTACTACAATAATAATTTTATTTCATCGCTTAATGTGCTTTCGTATAAAGAGCTTTGGTATGCTCAAAGTGGTAATAATTTTAATATAAATATAAAGAATGTTTATTGGCTTTAGTACATACATCAACTATCTTATAGCCTGCTGCTACAAGTGAGAGTTGCTACATCCATTATCTTATAGCCAGCTGCTACAAGGGAGTGTTGCTTCATTGACTATCTTATAGCCTTCTTCTACAAGAAAGTGCTGTTTCATTGACTGAGGATTTGGCATCGGCCAGCAATCTTTTTTCTTTTATTATTTCAATTAAAATTTCTAATGTTTAAAAACCCTCCACTAACGAAAGTGCAACAAGCGAAAAATAAAATTATTTTAGACTGCTAAAATGTAGCTTTACCTAAAATTATATTGTATTTATTAAGAATTTTATATTTTTTACCTAGGTTTAACCATAGTTCTTCATTGCAAAAGTAAAAAATAAATTCTGGCATTCCGGCCTGAAATATTGTAATTCTGGCCGGAACTAGAATAATATAAAAGTCACAAACTCCAGCCGGAATTCTCGCCAGAATGGAGTTCCAGTACATCCCTTATCAAAACTAAGGTTCTATTTTAGAAAAAAATAAACTGAGTAATACATCTTTGAAAATTTTTTTTTATCTTTTTGAATGATTCAGAAAATAAAATGTGTGGATGCTTACTGTTAGTAAAAATTTTAACTAAATAAAATTATTCAAAAGCATAAATAAAATATTCAAAACTTTATTACTTTATCCTTGCTTCAAATCTAGTGGAGAGTTCCACTCAGCTAGGTTTGAAACATAGAGGTATTTCTTAGAGAACTCAATTCAACTAAACTTGAAGCATAGTGGCATTTTTTACAGAATTCCATTTTTTGATTTTCACTAGGTTTGAACCGCACAGGCATTTCTTAGAAAATTCAACAAAAATTTGTTTGCAAAACTATGCTAGCGGCTGAACCCTATTGTTCCATTCAATACATTTTATTTGAGTCCCAACTCAAATAAAATGTATTTACAAATAATTCTGATATTACATGATTAAATAACTTATCTGATGTCAATTGAATGAAAAATAATTGGCTTAAGTTTTGCATAAATTATTTATTTTATATTTTAAAGTTTATTTTGCAAAAACAGTTTCCTAAAATCCATTAGATTATTGCTTGGGATAAAATGTAATTTAAGGTAATGAAATTAAATGTTTTAAAAAATTTACGCAAAAAACTTGGATTTTTAATTTGCTTAACATAATAATTTTGAAAATAGATTTGGTAACAAAGCTTACATAATATAATTTTTGGATTTTCATTTAGTAGAGGTTTTAAGTTTCAATATTTTGGTGGACATTACAACAACATTATGCATTTAAAAGTGATAAAAAAATATATACTTTTGTATATATGCTTGGTATTTTTTTTGTATAGATTATTCGAAGAGAAGGCATTGAATCATTAAACACAGAAGAATTGCAAAGTGCATGCATAGCTAGAGGAATGAGAGCTATTGGTGTTCCTGTTGATCGATTACAACAAAATTTAAAACAAGTAGGACATTTTTTTCATTATTTTGATTTTTGTTTGGTTTTTAAAAATGTTTGCAATAATTAAAATTTATAGATAACAATTTTAGTGGCTACAGTTGAGTTTGGATGAAGATATACCTGCATCATTGTTACTGCTATCAAGGACATTATATATAAGTCCTACAGTTGTTGATCAACTAAAAGTTACAATTAGTCAGTTTCCTGAAAGATTGGTATTTTTTTCTTTTTTCTTTTTTAAATTATATAGAAGCCACATCATATAAATATGTCTATAAGTACCTTTGTGCACTTAGATTTGCATGAGATTTCATTGGTGAGGTCATTCTAAGGGTATGGGGAGGTACTATTTAGATACAAAGAACTTTCATTACAGCAAAAAAAAAAAGTTTTTTTTATTCTTTGTTTTTTTTTTCTTTAAAAACTATTTGGATTTAAATTGTCATTTTAAAGTAAATATATGCAATCATCAGGTAAAAACACATGTATTTTTGAATGTATTGCTAACACAAAACTTTTAGTAGTAAACATTATGCTTTATTTTTTACTTTATCTAGTCAATCTAACATGAATTAGCCTGCTGCCAGGTGCTTCAGTACATACATCAACTATCTTATAACCTGCATAAGGCTATCTAATTTAAGAGTTAGGTTCAGGTTTTTATGACTGTTTTTCAGAAACTATAGAAATAAAACTTCCTAATCCAGTGAAATTAGTTTGCTTGAACATATATTCTATAGAGTAGTGATGTACCGATATCACTTTTTTGGCCGATGCCGATACTGATGCCGATGGATGGGAAAAGGCCGATACCGATGCCGATACCGATGCCGATACCGATGAATTTACTAATTATTAAAAATTTGAAAAAATTTTTTTTTTTTTCTTTTTTCGTTCTTTATTACAATATTTATGATACAGATACAAATAATATAAAAAAGAAAAAAGTCAAGATATCGTTAAGTAATAAAGAATAAAAATAATTATAAAGAATGCGAATACTCAAAGAAGACCATCAGGTCTTGTCACAGAGAAACCGCTATTAAACGTTTTTTTTTTTTTTTTTTAAATTAAAAATTTTTTTTTTTTCAATGTTTTCATTCTTTATATTTATTTATTTTTGTTCAATTTCTTTTTATTACAAAATTAAATTTAATAATAAAAGTATATAAAGTTCGTAATATAATATTATAAATAAACATACAATATTACAATATAAGAGTTCTAAAACGTAAAAACTAAAACATGTTAAATAATTGCTTATTGATAAAAAATAGATAAATAAAAAAGAATGTATATTAAATATATACAAATACTAATATAGATAAGGGATTTTCAAAAATTTAAAAGTATATAAGTATATTTTCAGTTAAAAAAATGAGTTTTTTAAGATTTTCTTTAAAAGAATCAAAATTACATTCTTGAGAAAAATCTTTAGAAGTATTTAGAACTATACTATTCCATAGAAATGGTCTGCGAAACGAAATAAAAAATTTTCTAAAATTAGTTTGAGAAAATGGTTGTCGAATTAAGTTATCGTTCTTTAGAATATATTTATTTCTATCTTTTTGTAAACACAAGTTATGAAAAGAAACGGGTGATAGGTGGGTCTTGCATTTATACTTAAAACAAAGAATATTAAAAACATTCAACTCATATATATTGAGTGCTTTCATATCATATAAAAGAGGCTTGGCGTGAGCAAAATGGTCCTTAAAATAAGGCGTGCTACATGCTTCTGTTGCCGATAGAGAGGTTTAAGTTTACTTTTTTAAGTGCTACCCCAAGCAATGTTTGCATAGTTGATATGGCAATGAATTAACAAATAATATAATCTAATTAAGGTATTTTTATCAAGAACGTTTCTTATTTTGTATAGTATGCCTATACTCTTTGAAATTTTACTTCACAAGTTAGCAATGTGGCATTCCATGTAAGATTTTCATCGATATATACACCTAAAAATCTTGTCACTAAAACTCTATTAATAACTATGATATTTTCTATTTACTTTTTACCATAAGGATGAGAAAGAATCCATTTAGTTTTATCAATATTTAGTGAGAGTTTGTTTAATCTAAACCATTCAGACTAGTTCAATGTTCATATTGCTAAAAAGTGTAATAATGTTATTATGAGAAAGAAATAGGCTAGAATCATCAGCAAACACAATTGTCATTAGGTTAGAAGCTTTTGGTAGATCATTAATATATATTAAAAATAGGAAAATATAAAACCATAAAACTTTAAATTGGTACTGTTAAACAATTACTTGGACTCAAATCAAAGCCAAACAATTAGATATATACATTTTTATTTTTTTTCTACTTTGAAAAGAAAACTTAAATACAATTAAATTAAATTCAAAAAAATAAATACAATTATAGAGGAACGTTTTTGATTTTAATTTTAAAAAAAGAAAATATGCATATGCAGTTTACTTAGAATTCTTTATCAATTTATTAGCAATTTAGATATCTAAACAACAATCATGTGCTGTTTAGACATAAATTTTTATACATCAAACTGATGATTTCTGAATATGCTTCCTATAGTTCTTTTTCTTTTATGTAGTTGATGATTTTTAATTACATTAGGATCATTAGTTTTTTCTTGCAATATTGCGATAATAAATATAAAGCCAATTAGTAAGAATTAATGAGGTGGTGGTAGATGTATCATATATATCTTGATATTGCACTAGTAATAAATAATGAAAAATATTTTGCATACTCACTCTCATACATTAATTAGTTAGTTTTTAAACAACAAATTTTGCAAAACTGCTCAAACAAAAGGTTTTAAGTAGCATTATTAATGAAGAACAAATTTTTGGCACATTAGAAACCGTTAATGTCTACAGGTGTGATAGTGTAGTGCATTTTTTCTAGTAGTCTTATATGGTCTTGTTATGTTATATGATTACGTTATAATCACTTTTCTTTTCTCGTTATGTAATTATGTTATAATCACTTTCAAATCTAGCACCTATGACTTAGCACATCATAGCATAACACAATGAATTTCAATTGATCGGATACACAAATAAGTCATCATAACGGCTCCGTTGGCCACTTGTTGCGATCATTGTGTCGCATAAACAAAAAGTTCTTTAGAAATTATTAAAAAAAAAAAAGGAGTTGATGAAAGAATTTTTTATTCATGAATATGGTCTTGTACCTAATGTTTAATCGTTTTGAAATTTCTTTTTTGACAGATTGATGAGATGGAGGTAAAAATTGGTGCTGTTGAACGTGAAGCAGTCAGCAGGCAAACTATAATTGATATTATTCAACATGAAGAACAACAAATTAAAGTTGAACAAAAAGAAATAGAAGTTAAAAAAAAGGTAATAAAATTTATGAATTGAATTGATTTCTGTTTTAAACTTATAATTTTTTTTTTATTATTACTTATGTTTCTTAATGTTATTATTAATTTTTTTATTTTTGTAGCTGGACGAACTGAAAATTGATGTAGGTTATATCTTCTTTTTTTTTTCCAAACTTTAAACTGTAATAATTTTTTGAGTATTTTTTCATAACTTCATAGAAATCGAAGGAAGATCTTTCAAAAGAAGAATTATTGGATGTGATTGAGACTCTTTCCACTGACAGAGAAGAATTGCATAAAATTAAAAAAGACAGAAATGAATATATTGAAGTACATTTCATGATTGAATTATTTTAAAGTTTTATTTTTTAAACTGTATTTACAAAAATTAAATCAATTATTTTTTATTAATTATTAAATATAATAATTAATTGTTATTAATTATAATCTATTTATTTGATTTAAATTTTTTTTATATTTTTTTACATTTTACTAATGATTTAGGATTTAGCTGAAATGAAGTTAGTAACAGAGAATCCTAAAGAAAATAATGCTAGTCGACGAATAGGTAATCGAATAGATGTCATGTTGAAAAAAATTGATGCTACCCTGGCTGAACTGGAAAAAGAAATCTCACATATGCCAGCAGAGAAGATTGACAGTGACAAGTTAGTTTATCTTTTTTAATCTTTTTTTGTTTTTTGTAACATGTTTTTTGACAATGGCATATTTTAACTAAAACTTCGGTTTATGTATGTTTGCTTTTTCTCATGTGTCCTTGCCAGTCAGCCTATATATGTATATTAAATATTGTTATATTATTAAAAATTAATATTTGATAATATAAATTTTCAATATTTATATTGAAAATTTATATTATCAAATATAAATTTAAAATATATTTAAAATAAACAGTTACAAATTTTTTACTTCCATTGATTTTATAATTTTCAGTCAATTGGTGTTACCCATACACCAAAATGTTACAAATAAAATTTAAAAGTATCCCTTTTTTTTAATAATGATACTTATAAATTTAATATAAATATGTTGCAATTAAAATTAATGAATTCCAAAAAAAGTAAAGAAATAAAGAGTTTGCAAAATTGTCATCATAATGCATTTATGCATTAAGAGGTAAATTATTTTATGAGAAATTAATCTTAGACTAATTTAGTTGAATGAAAAGCTTTTTTCTCCTTAATTAGTTGTAAAAGAATATATTATGATATATAATTAATTAACGCCTAATATAACTAATAAAGCTATTTTTTTTTTTTTTTTAGAGATGGTATAGTCACTACCCAAGAGCTGTTCCAAGTCATTCAAACATTGCGCAAAGCACCAGGTGAATCCAAAACAAAACGCCTTCTTGAAGCTCTTGATATTGATAAAGATGGAGCAATGAGTCTTAATGAGTTAAAAATGGTAAAGTATAAATTTATATTCCTGTGTTAAAAATAGTAGAGTAATAACTTATATTCCTGTGTTAAAAATGGTAGAGTATTAACTTATATTCCTGTGTTAAAAATGCAAAATAAAAAAGTTTTCTTTTAGGGAAACTTTATTTGAGGAGCATAATTTTTTTACTGTCAAGTTCTATTAGTATTATAATTATTAGCAGCAAAAATTTGATATTTTGTCTGTATTATTATATTATGTATCTTTAAAAGATTAAGCAATTACACATTCAAATAGCAAGCAGCATATTTTTTTTGCTTATTTATAGGCCATTGAATTGTTAGCAAATGAAGACTTGGATTTAGATGCACAGCAAATTGCTGAAGTTATTGCTTTGTTGAAGGGAACAGAAAAAATATATGTGAACGAGCAAATGTTGACCAAAAAAAAAGACAACTATATTTTGCGACTTCTTCCTGTAATTTATTCACGAAAATCAATACCTTATTATTTAAGTTACAAAAAATAATTTTTAATTCTGTTGCTGTACAGTAATGTTAAATGTGAAATAGCGAGATTTTGTTGTTGTTGCTTTTTTGTTAACAAGATAATCAAAATGAATTAATAAAAGTTAAAAAAAGTTATTTGTATAGAATTAAATAATTTTCCTAAAGGGAGTATATATATAAATATTTTTTAAGCTTTTTTTTTTTCTAGTGTAATAAAATATGATTTGTGACTTCTAGCTAATTTACTATGTATTTAGTATTTATTTAAAAAGATGTTCATTTTTTATATTATCTTTATTAAGTATATTTTATGCATATATTTACTGATTATTGTATTATAAACAGTGTTGTATAAAATCAGTAGCAAATAGCGCGTATTTGGCAGTTATATAAATTAATAGAATATTTTTACTGCTAGTTTGGCTACAAAGATAAATAGAAGTAAGTGTACATACTTTTATTGGCAGGCTTGGAATGCATCAGGCCCTATCTTTCTTAAACTGATATAACATCAACAATAGCATTATAAAAAAACAATGATAGGCAACAGTTTTTGTAGATTAATTAAGGTTTAGAAAGTTTCAATCAAAGTATTATAAAAAATGATTTTTTAATCATAGTCATAATAGTTTGACTATGACATCATAACTGTAACTAAGAGATCATTATTATTTAAAATTATTATTAAAAAAATCGTAATAAATAAAATAGTTATATCATTATATTATTATATTTATAAATAATTATAATATCTATATATTACATTTAAAGCTAAATGGTTTGTTTATAAATATATTGTGAAAAGAAACTAATAAATAAAAACTAAACAGAAAACTGAATATTTCAAAACAATTACTAACAAAAAAGAGCAAGAATAAATAAATGTATGTATGTATGTATGTATGTATGTATGTATGTATGTATGTATGTATGTATGTATGTATGTATGTATGTATGTATTTATGTATGTATGGTATGTACATACATACATACATACATATTATGTAAAAACAAATTTTATCACTATGTATTAAAATATATTTTTGTATGTATGTATGTATTTATATATGCATATAGGTATGTATGTATGTATGTATGTATATACATACTATGTATATATGTATATATATATATATATATATACATATATATATATATATATATATATATATATATATATATATATATATATATATATATATATATATATATATATATATATATATATATATATATACATATATATATACATATATATTAGTGTGGGTCATAAAATTTTTTTTACTTGTTACAAGCTCTAAACATTGCTAGAAAGTTGTTTTTTTATGTACTAATTTAGGAAAGTATTTACTTTTATGGATTGAACAATGTCTTCCACCCGCAACTATAATTACAAAAATTAGCAGGCCCTATTATTATTTAAAAAAAAAGTTTTTCAAAATTATGTTATGTAGGTACTCAAATAAAGCGAAATTTTATAAAAATTTAATTTAACTAAAAGTAAAAAAGGTGCATTCTTACATGTTTTTTAATAACAATTTTTTTCAGCAATATAATTTTTAAAAATGATTATTATTTTCGAATTTTTTATAAAATTTCGCTTCTTTTGAGTACCAGGTTGACCTACTTTTGAAAAACTTTTTTTCTCCAAAATATTAGGGTACTGGTAATTTTCCCAATAAAGTTGCGCCCTTTAAATTTATCACAATCATTCTCATATTTGATAGTATCAATATTAATAACTATTAGCAATGTTTAGAGCCTGTAACAAGAAAAATAAATTTTATGACCCACCCTAATATATATATATATATATATATATATATATATATATATATATATATATATATATATATATATATATATATATATATATATATATATATATATATATATATATATATATATATATATATATATATATATATATATATATATATATATATATATATATATATATATATATATATATGTGTGTGTGTGTGTATGAATAAATGTATTTTTAATTGCAGACATATATATATTTATATATATGTGTATATATAAATATGTTTGTAATCAATCATTTTATATATTCATACATGCATGCATGTATATAATGATACATACATACATACATACATACATTCATACATACATACATACATACATACATACATACATACATACATACATTCAAATATGCAAACATACAAACATACATACATATATACATATGTTTGATTTATTTTAGTATTTAAAAGATTTTTTGAATATTAAATGTCTAACAATTACTAACTTTTGTTACAAGATAATTTAAAATGGGTGATGAGATATTTGGTGATGATGATGATGCCTCTCGTCGCAGAAAACGTGGTTTGCTAAAAATGTACTATGGTACTAGTCAAGAAGCAGAAAATAAAGACCCTTATGACATAGATCAAGCATATTTTGAACATGATGCCTATTTGGAGAAAATATTTAAGGAAAAAACATTGCATGAACTTATGGATAAAGAAAGCGAAGTTGTTAAACGTATATATTTTTATTATTTATTGAGCTTTAAATTTAACAATTTAAAAATCGAAATGAATTGTATCACACATCCATAAACCATAAATATGTAAGTATAAACTTTTGTGGAATATATATTATATCACACATCCATAGACCATAAATATAATAATGCAAATTTGTAGGGCTAGTTATACCCTTTGAGTTTTTCTCCCTTTAAAGAAAATATAAAGTTATAAATGCAAAAGTTTTGAAATTTACTTTTTATAGTTAAACACCCTAGCTAGTTGAAGTCCAATAAACTCATAAAACCCACATAGCTCACTAACTGTTGCGTCAAAACAACCCTTCTAATCCACTTCTACAAGCTTCAGCATTAAAGAATGCTGGTGTTATAAAAAGATTATAGGCAGTGTCAACACTGCAAGCCTAGTCTAAAAGTTACATTGGATTGTCAAATAATAATGTGTGCATATGGCTGAGCAGCACCTATGACTATGAAATAGTCATAGGTGCTGCTATGTATATATATATATATATATATATATATATATATATATATATATATATATATATATATATATATATGTATGTATATCTATATATATGAATGTATGTATATATTCCTATAGTTTGACTATATCTAAATTTACCATTTGCGGTATAAAAAAAAGGCTCTCAATGACTCTTTATGTTAAAAGAAGACAAAATCAAGTACACTATATGTAAAAACCATTAAATTTAATTGAGGAAACTAATTAAATTGTATTTTTTAAAAAAACCCAAAAATGCAAATTAATAGACAAAAAATTTTTTTTTTTTTTTTTTTTTACAGTATTCATACATTGACTGACAAATTGGTAGAATGTGCAAGGAATGCTGCTACATCAACTAAAAAATAGATAGGGCATGTAAAGAGTGTTGCTACATTGACTGACAAATAGGTAGAACATGCAAAGAGTGCTGCTACATCGACTGAGGGTTTTAATTTGGGCAGGCAATTTGTCAATTGAAAAAAAAAAACTTTTTAAAGTTTTTTTAAACATTTATATATTTTATTTATAGCTAAATTTTTTACTTACTAAAAAATGAAAAAATTTGCTTGGGGGTATAAAAATATCCCAGTCATCTTTAACATAAATAAATTTTAATGTATAAGTATTATTATTAATTTATTAGTAAAACAAAAATATTTTAAACTTGCAATATACTTATACGACACTAAAAGGGGTTCTGAAATGGCAACTTAAATAGACAATGTTTGTGTATAAAACAAATAGAATTTTTCTGGGATATTAAAATACCCTGCTCTACTCTTCTAAGATATTAAAATACCCTGCTTGTTAAAATAAATTTAGATGCTCAATCAAACTACAGTTTTGTAAAAACATTCCTTAGTAAGTTTATATACCATGTTATAATAATAACATTGCAATATTGCTAGTTTAATAGTAACATTAAAAGCGTAATACCAAGATCAGTTTTTAATTGAAACAGTAGTTTAATTGAAACAGTAGTTTAATTGAAACAGTAGTTTAATTGAAACAGTAGAAGTTAAATCTATTAAAGAAATTCAATAGATTATTAGTATTTTAAAATACTAGTACTCTATTTAGTTATATTGTAAAATTTTTTTTTTGCATAATTCAAGAGCTATTGTGAAATAGTATAACTGAAAATACTTGACTTTTGAGAAAAGTAATTTTTTTGACTGAGTTTTGGCTAGACATTTACTAATTTCTACATGGATGATTTTTTTATCAAAGACCTAATCAGGAATTTTTGTTGACTAACCAACGAGAAAAAACTTACTCAAGTCATTATTCTTATTTAAAAAACAAAATGATGTGTGATGAAGAATCTTTTCTTTTCAGAAACTTTTCTTCTCTTAAGTAGATCTGTATATACAGTTGTTTTCTATTGAATTTTTTTTTTACTTATATAAATCAAAAATTATTGTAGTTTTTTCTGTTTTAAAAAAAATTCTGCCTTTAAACATTTTGAAGTTGCATATTTCGCTGGTGTGGACATTTTTAGATCTTTATTAAACATTTTTTTTTTTTATCTTTAGAAATCCGAACACTTGACAGCGAAATGCAGACATTGGTTTATGAAAATTACAATAAGTTTATCAGTGCCACAGATACAATTAAAAAAGTTTCCGATTATTTTATATACTTTTAAAGTTTTTAGTTATTGCTAACCAAAGTTGGGTGAATAAAAATTTCTTTTTTTCATCTGTAGATGAAAAGTGATTTTAAACGAATGGAAGATGAAATGAATAAACTTGATTCAACATTATCTTCAGTGACTGAATTAAGTGATAAAGTTAATTCAGCTCTTCAAGTCAAAAGGAGCCACATTGCACAGCTTTCTGGTGTTCATACTTTGTTACTTAAGGTTAGAAATGTTCACAAATATAATTGTCATACTTGTATGACAATCGATACCAAATAATTATATTTAGCTTTAAATAGTTAAAATGTATTTTTTATCAAATTTTTATTGATTGCACTTTTTTTGGTTTGTTGGTGTTTATTTTATTGATCCTTTGTCAATTTTTTTTTTATGCATATTTTGTTGATGTTCAACTTAACTAATATATTGTACTTATTTACATAAAACGTGTTACCATATATCATTAATACAATGCAATAATGCAAGGTGCTGCACAAATAACTGCCGCATTTTAAAATCAATGCAAGGTTCACAAAACAGTTTTAGTGTAGTCTGTTAGATAATGCGCTTAATAAAATATTCTGCTACCACAATGTTGTGGTTCAATTAGAATTGAAACTTTTGAGTGGTGGCTTTTTCTGAAAATATAGAAGCTGTAACTGAGATGCAAATGATGTTTTGCATACAGTTCATTTTATGTGCTTGTGAAATCGTTTCGAATGTTACAATTTAAATGACTAATATGGTAAGCTTAAATATATGATTTTTTTCTCCAAATAATTTTTATTTTTTTAAATATTTTTTTTTAATAGCTTCAATTTTTGTTTGAACTTCCCAATCGTTTGAATAAATGCATTGAAATGAAACAGTATGCTCTTGCTGTTAGGTATGTTTACTCTCATGTGTATACTTTTTAAAAAAAAAGGCTGTTACAATTGTTTAGTTACGCAGCTGCATCTATAGACTTTTTTTAATAAAGTAATACACTTTTTACAATTCTGGCTAACTGTGTAATTTTACATTAATTTTAAAAGTTTGTTTAAATTCAGATTTACTTGCTGTTATATTGATAGGGGAAAGAGAAACTGTCTAAATTGATTTGTTTTTAGTTGATTAGTTAAGATAATAGGTTCATTTATAAAAAATCTGTTTTCAAAATTAAAACTGAAGATAAATCTATTATCACTTTTTCCATCAACCAGAAGCCAATCTTTTTACTGTAACTGTTCCTTTATGTTCAAAAACTTTTATTTGTATAGTTTTTTTTCCTCTAACATCAGTGCTTCAGCATCCTTTATAAATTTTTATTACTCATTTCCAGTCTTCTGTGACATTCTTTAACTCTCATTTTTGTTTTCCTTCAACTTGGTTGCTTGCAGGTTGGTTGGATGTAAATTTGTTTAAAAGTAAAAAACTGATGTTTTTGATATGCTGAAAATATTTTTGGGTATTTTTTGGGAATTGAAATAGTTTATTCTTCTTAATGAAGTTGTTACTTTATTTAAAATTCTAATTTGGTTTTCCAAATTTTCAGCAATAAATTTAACTACAATATCAGCAATGGATAGCACAGATTACGGTTTTACTTTTTGGTTGTCTTGTTTATTCAGATTCATAAAATAAGGTTATCAATGAGACAAGCACTTGTCAGTTAAAAATATTTTACATCAGTCCTACTATGTAGATTTTCTACAAATTTTTTAAATTTACATTTGAATCATTTTAAAATTTTGAAGTAAAATTAATTTTATTAATTTAGTTTTACTTCATCATAGTATAGATTTACATTTAATGAGTAATATTTTTTATATAATTTTTTTATATACAATTTTAAAATAATCAGAAGTTGTTCTCTAATTATGAAATAAATGGATAGTTGGATGGTTTTGAAGACAAATGGTAAATTTTTTTGAAATTATTGATTCATTGTAATAAGTTGAAATAGCATAAAAGTCTAGTTTTTATTATATAGGTACTAGTCAATTACTCAGATTTCACTCAATTATTTAGGTACAGCTTAATTATTTAGGTTCCACTCAAGTGTTTAGGTACTAATCAATTAAGTACTACATAATTATTTAGGTACTACTTAATTGTTTAGGTACTACTCAATTGTTTAGGTACTACTCAATTGTTTAGGTACTACTTAATTGTTTAGGTACTACTCAATTAAGTATTACATAATTATTTAGGTACTACTCAATTGTTTAGGTACTACTCAAAAGCTCAAGATGTTTTAAATAAGTACAAGCACATGCCATCATTTGCTGGAATACATACAGATTGTGAAGTTATTATCCAAAATCTTATGAAGACTTTGCGCTCTTTGTTATGTAATCCTGATTCCACAACTAGAGAACTCACAGAGTGTGTTGATTTATTGTTAAAGCTTGGAGAACCAAATAATATTTTATGTGATGAATTTCTAACTTTGGCTCGTGATAAAGTAGGAGAGAGCTTGGACAGTCTCAGAATAAAGTTAACTGGGGATGAAGAAACAGAACGAGATGATGTACTTGATTTTATGGATTGTGGTTGCAACAACTTTTTGGGTGATATTTCACTTGTCACTGCTTCATACCATGAACTTTTTATTAAAAAGTATTTAAATGCGTAAGTGGCTTTTCAAAATGATTTTTTTGATGTGTTATTCATTTAAGTCTAGTCACTATTAAACCTTTATCTTTATTATACTTAATGTCAATAATCTTAATAATAAAAAATAATATTCAATAAGCTAGCAATATTTTGTTTAAACAAATTACATTTATATATTTTATTTAGAAAAAGTATATATAAAAAAATGTGATCCAGAAGACAAATAACTGATATATCTTTTATATAACTGATATAACTTTTTATAGACCTTAAATAACTGTTAAAAACTTTTTTTTGTGGTTTTTAGCTTGTAATACTTAAGTGGATGGGAGACCCTTTCTTGTTTTAGTAAGAATCAAGTTTTGCAAAAATAGAATTTTAAAGACTCAGATTTCAAATTTATTTATATACATAAATAAAATTAGCAAAAAGCTATATACATAAATAAAATTAGCAAAAATTTAGCTATAAAAATTTTTTAGCTATATTACATATATATAAATATATTATAAATAAAATTAGCAAAAATGTTTATCCAAATGATGAGGATCTTTTAGGTCAAAGTAAAATTAACTTTTTTGTTTGTACTGTTAAAGGGTTTTCAAGATGTATAAGTTTTGATAGGTTATGAACATGAAAGAACTGGTTAATAATTTAACCAGAGCAATTGTTTATGTTTATTTTTAGCTTTGTATCATTTTAATAATATTCAGAAATTTTTTTTATTCATTTAGGTCAGATTTACAAAATACTGCTAAAGAAAAATTGGCAACTTTCATAATGGATCACATGGCTGAGTTTTTTAAATTTGTTCGCAAAAGACTTGAACGTGAGGTATTAGTTGTTTAAAATTGATTGACATTTTTTTAATATATGCGCAAAGCTGTTTACAATTTTTTCATAAATGTATTTAGAGCATAAGTTTTTATAAATAATTTTATGCATGATCTAACAGCTTTTGGAGTTTAAAATATGATTTAAATTCCAAGTGTTTCAAATGTTGCAAAACATTAAGTTGAATTAATAAATTTCTTGTTAAAAAGCTTAAAAAATATTTTCATTGTTCAGAAATGCATAAAAAAGTTTGGCTTTACTTTATTACAACTTATTGAAACATTTTTAACTGAATTAATGTTCATTTCTGGAAACTTTCACACTTTTTTTACAAATGTTGCATATAAACTTAAATGTGATATTTACATATCTTACTCAGTTATTATCTTAAATAGTCAATTCTACATAGTTTATATCCAACAAATATTCTTAGTGTTTCACCTCTTTTATCTCCAACAAACATTCTTAGTGTTCCACCTCTTTTATCTCCAACAAACATTCTTAGTGTTTCACCTCTTTTATTTCCAACAAATATTCTTAGTGTTCCACCTCTTTTATCTCTAATAAATATTCTTGTGTTTCACCTCTTGTATCTAAATTTAATCTGAGAAAAACATTTTTTCTTTTCTTGAAAAAAAACCCTTTTAACAATTATAAAGTTAAGTTCAAATTTAATCTTCAGTGACTATGCCCTTTGAATTAAATATCCTGGTGTATTAATTAGCTACAATCTTTTATTTTTCATATTGATGTAAGAAACTAAATTGAGGTAAAAGTTCTCAATAATTTGTCATTATGTCAAGTTAAATTCAATCTTTTCAGTGCTTATAAAGTTTGCTTATAAGCACGGAAAAGATTGGATGATTTGCTGTCAATTTACAAGAATATCTTCTTTGTCAATGTCACTTTAGAAAGAATGGAAACATTCTTTCTAAAGTGAATTTGATTTTTGAAACACATGGCTTGTAACTTTTAATAAAAGATCCATGTAACCTCTAGTAGAGTGAAGAAAATAGTGGCTCTGGCTCTTATTAAAATATGGCTCTCTATTCTCAAAGATACCTGTTAAAAAACTGCTAAGAATTTTAATGAGAATATCTGCTAACCAGGCTATAACATTTATCTCTTTTCTTTGTCATGCTTGTGAAAATGTTGACAATAAACATTTTCCCACAGCTTGAACTTTGAACAGTCCCACAGCTTGAACTGGCAGAGCTTGTAATTATGTTTCTTAAAATATCAGATCACCGAGTACAAAAATTGCAGCTTTGTTCTCTATGGTACAGGACTTTTTTTGGCAGAGACTACTACATAGAAATATAAAAGATTTCAAAAAGATATAAAAATAGACAGAGTTAAAGTGAAAATCTTTTTTCTTAGTAGTTTTCTGTTTGATAAAGATCTGCTTGGAATGGTTTTTGATTGATTTTTGAGATTCTAGGCCATTGTTTAAAAAATGCTTATCGATAAAACTTTTTCAGATTTGTTGGAAGAGTTTCCAGGTATAATGTTGAACATGTATAGAGCAGGAAAAGCTTGGGAATCTACTCTAAATGAAGAATTCTTATAAAAAAGCAATGATAACTAAAATTGGATACACAAATTTAGTTTTTTACTCCATTGTAAAGAGTAGCAAAAAATTCTTCTACCTAAATGACATTGTTTCAAATCAACCATATTTTACCATTTTTTTATAAAATGAGTTAATGCATTTTGGATCCTCAAATGACTGGGCATTAGACATTCAAATATCCAGTCTTTTGAGGATTGTTTATCATTTTAGATTTGAGTTTAAATTGTTATAGGCTCCAGAAGCAGTAAAAGTATTTTTAAAACAACACTATGCGGTAGTGGTGTAGTGGTAGAGCACTCGCTTCATAAACGAGTGGTTCCGAGTTCGATCCCCACCACGTCCCTGGTAGTACCGCGCTCAACTCGTTTCTCTGCGCAGCGGCCTTGTTCGTCAAGGTTTGTGTTTCGGAGTTATAGAGTTGAGAGAGGGTTATAGCCACAAAATAAGTAGCCTCCTCGTCTGTAGTGGCCTTCTCGGCCTTGAGGAGGTGAAGTAAAATAAAAAAAATAAAAAAAAAAAAAAACTTGACTCTAATATGAAAATTTAAAAACTTAAAGTTTGCTGCATGACTGGAAATGGCCTCTTTAAACAAAAACAATGTATTTCTTAAATTGAAAAGCATGATTTTTTATTTGAAATATATATATATATATATATATATATATATATATATATATATATATATATATATATATACATATATATATATATATATATATATATATATATATATATATATATATATATATATATATATATATATATGTATATATATATATATATGTATGTATATATATATATATATATATGTATGTATATATATATATATATATATATATATATATATATATATATATATATATATATATATATATATATATATATATATATATATATATATAGTGTATAGGTAAAAAATTAACTAGATTACTGAGAAAATGGTTCAAATTTTGTAGAAAATTGCAAAAAAGATAGTTTCAAAGAATTGGTGCAAATAATTCAAAAAAGAAGGGGGAGGGGGACATTTTTAAAAATATAATTATGATATCTACGCAATTCATTAACTACGCAATCTATGTTGCATTAAATTGTTTGTCATGAAGAAGTTATGGGATAACCTAATACATTCTTTACTAGAAAAATGATAATAGAAAGCTTAGTGTGTTGCCTCATAAAAGTATAATAATTTATGGTTTATTAGTGAATCTGTGAATTAAACAAGATTATCCATTGTGAATGAAAATTTACAGAATTTTTCTTCAAGTTAATAGTTTGCCTGCCCAAATCAAAACCCTTTGTTTATGTATGTACAATTCCTGTATGTACTCTCTATTTAAGTCATTTGATGATGTATGCACATTCCTTGCATATTCTGCCTATTTAAGTCAGTGGTTGTTTACTTCATTTTGCCTATGCCTAAATAATCAGTCGATGTATGTACACTAGGTATATGATAAATTTTAAATCAATTAGCCTGGGGTTCTAAATGATGAACTTTTGCCTATATTTGATTTCACCATACCTTGAAAAAACTTCCCGCACCTAAGACAGTTTCATATTTAACCATACAACACATAGCAGCCCAAAGGCTATTAATTATAATATGTCAACTTTATTTACAATACACATGAGAAATACACTGTCCTACAGCATTTGTAGTGATGTTAATAATCTTTCAGATTTGTGTATTAGTATTAATAAATTTACAGTTAAGATATTTGTTTGTTCTGCAAGTTAAGATATTTGTTTGTTCTGCAAGTTAAGATATTTGTTTGTTCTGATGGTTCCTTCTTCCAGTGGGTAGAAAAGCATTTCACAGCTTTGAAACACTTAAGTTAGGATATTGCTGACAGCAGGTCTTCATAAGCCGCCTCTACATAGTGCTGGTTTGAAAACCAGGCCCGCGACCATGTAGTTGCAAAGAAATCGCAAGTTATCCTCAGCTGTTCTTGCCAGTTTGGAAGAATGAAAAATGCAATATGCGCAAAAATGCCTCTTGAGTTCCACCTGGCACTGTGCAGTGATGGCAGCTTGTACCATTTGGTACGAGGCCATTTTTCCTCATTTTTGTAAAACTTGTATGCTTCACAAAGCTGAAAAAGAAATTTTAAGTCATTTCTCCAGTCAAGGTTCTCATACTCTGCTACCACTGCTTTGCCCTTGTAGACATTTTTTAAATCATCGTAATGCTCCATAATCTCATCAATAAATTTGTAGTTAATGTTAGGCGTCTGTGACTGTATAGGAAAAAAGAAATCCAATACATGTCGTAGAACAAGATCAAGAATGTGGTGTTGGCAGTCAATGTATTGAGGTTCATCGAATCCCTTGTCTCGAAATGTTTTCTGAAGCTTGGCTACAACTCCATTCTTGCGACCAGTATTTACAGCTGTTGTGTCAGAGATGATCATCTGAATACTGTTCCATGCATTGATATCTTCAAGTAGGTCCTGTAGTGGTTTATATATGCTTGCAGATGATCCACTGTCACAAACCAAAATGCCAAGTTGTAATGTTCTTTTGTCATTTTTCAAGTACACAACTTGGTACTCAGTCTTGAAAATTTTCTTACCATCAAAATGCAAAGAAAATTTCTCTTCAGAGATCAGTTCCATGGGGCGGTTCTTAACTTGTTCTGCATCTCTGATTGTTCGACGCCAGACTCCAGACTGTGATGGTGTTGGAACACAAACTCCATCCTCAGTCAGACTTTAAAGCACCTGTGGCGTTTTTCTGGTTGACAAAGAGTCACTAGACACTAGTTTGGCAACAGACTTAGTTGACTGGCGTGTTGCACGCTTTCTGCGAGATTCTCCTGGAACTGCCTCCGAGTCACCACTGCTGCTTTCTTCTTCAGAATCTTCACTATTGCAGGAAAGTGGTACAGAAATAACCGCTTGGTTTGTAGATGGTTCTGATGTGCTTTTGGCCCTTTTTGATGGATGGATTGTTGACATAGGAGCCACTTTCATATTTGTATATCCTACCCTGCCATCTGAATCAATTTGTACTTTGTACAGTTGTTTGTCCTCACTACAAAGCCAATTTCCATCTGGTTTTGTTATATCGAACAGATGAGCAAGATTTTCTTCAAATACTGCATCTGGTCGCTTTCTGTGTTTCTCAAATGATGTGATAAGTTTGTAAACATTAGCAGACACTTGTTGTTTGGAAAGAACAGGAAAATTAAACTTCTGCCAAAGATTCATCAATTCCTCTGATATTTTTGTAAGTCGATCATGTTGTCCTTTCAATTTATTAAAGAGTCCCAAGAATCTTCCAACGATATCTCTGTTGGAAGGCATTTTACACAATTTGTTGCTCATATCCTGTTTTACCTGTGGTATATTAGGACGGCGCTTTGTGCTTGATTTCAATTTTTGTTTCCATATTTCACCAGCTGCTTCCACTGCTGATTTTGACTTTTTACTTTTAAATGACATATTTTCAAAAAGAAGCACTAAACAGCAGATCTTGCAAATTAATACTGCAAATAATGAAAAAACTTTTTAAATACTTCTCAATATTTTAATCGCGCGAACAATAAAAAAATACTCAACAACAAACAACAACAAACGCGCATTAATTTGAAAAACAGTCGTTAAAATTTGTTATTCAAAATTGAGTTACATAACATAAAAACAATTTAAAACTATCGAACTTTTTCATTCTATGTTAATTAACTTTTTAAACTGTTTGACGCTCTCCAACTTGTAGTTATATTCAAGCATAGTCAAGCATAGTCAAGCATAAGGAAGTAAGAACTGGGAACAAAATCAAGTGAAAAATCGAAAAAGTTAAAAGTGGTGAGGTGCTAGGTGCGGGAGGTTTTTTTGTGATCCAATAAAATAAACCTCAAAACAGTGATCTATTGGTAAAAGTTCATCAAATGCAACATCAGGAAAATTAAAACTTTGAAAAAAGTTTTTTTGTTATATATCTAATGTACACTCCATCGTGGGGTTCCAAAAATAAATCAAGTAATAAAATAAAAATAAAAAAACAAATTGAATCAAATAAAATTAAAGTAATAAAAACAGTTTTAAAAAAAAAAAAAAAACAATTTCAAAATAAAAAAAAAAACGTTCTGCATTTGAAAAAAAAAGATTCAAGTCAATTAAGTTTTTGATTTTGCAGTCATTTAAAAAACGTTAATTTTGTTAGTTTCCATAATTAACTTTAATTTTATTCGTTTCCACAATTAGTTATATGGTTTTTGCTTAAAGTAATCTAGCTATTGTCTATCTTAAACATCAAAACAACACAAAAGTTATTTTTTACCATCCAGTTTAAGCATAACTATGTGATTTAGAGTATATCACACACAGTTGCATGTGTATTAGTTGTCTGTAAAATTATTATTTGTTTGTAAAAAAAAAAAT